ATTTAACAATAGTAATATTCAGTTCATAGAGAATTCGCTAACTGGCATCAGTAATCGGAAAAAAGAGCGATTTCAGAATTGTTTCCGATGCCAGTCAATCATTTGGGAGTCATCTATGCAATTGAAATATTTAAAAAAGTTATAGTCAAAGATACCATTGAAATCAGTTGCCATATTGAATCCATTATGATAAAAACCTAAATATCATAACAAATCGAATGTACAGTGTGGCGAAGGACCAATCTACCGTGAAGATTGCTCCCATATACTGTAAACATTCGAAAAAGTACAAATAATTGACAGAGGAGTTGAACCTTAAATCTTTTCATTCCATTATGTTTCAAAATTACTTTTCATAGAGTTTTATTAAAATTCAACTAATGTAAGTCGCCTTGAAATCACAATTAAAGTGAAGTGGTACGTTACATATTAAACAGAGATGATGTAGTATTGTCAGCCGGCTCCAAAGTTTAGCTCAAAACGGAATGCAGCTCATTGTTCAAACAGAATGTTAATATATACCATCAAAAATGCACTGCATAGATTTTATTATGTAGAGCGCTAAGTGCAGAGGCTTCCAGAATGTCATATAATGCCATAGTTTTCAATGATTATTGCATTAATACATTGCATGTTTACCAATAACTTTTCATGTGTAACTATTGTTCCACAGATATTTAGAAATTTATCAAGTTGTTGATAGTAACTAGTATTTACAATTGGTGAAGTACCATTTTGACTTATGTTTGCTGCTACACAAACGTGGAAACTTTAAAGATGGATTTATAGACGGTATCAGGACAGAACATAACTGAAATTTCATAACCTTTGATTAGTCAGTTACAAACGATCGATTGACTGAAGATTGTGTTGTCTGAATTTCTGGGTGTTAATCGTAATTCATCAACTTCAGCTAAAATACCAATGAAAATCGAGAGCGACAAGCAGATGATTTGTTCTCGTAGGGAAATCTCCGCAGACCTTTAATCTTTACAAAACAGTTATCAAGACCATGACTTGAAAAAACTAGATGGTATAACAAGAAGTTAGTTGGTTATACCACCTTTTTAAATACATAAGATATATCAAGATGTCTCGGTAAGACGATAATTTATGGACTTTTAAGCAACGCCAAAACGACCTTGAAAATGTGTCGCTTCCAACCAGGAGGGGAACGGTGCCGTTCTGTAGTTGAGATGCTAGTTTGGGCAGTCTAGTGCGGGGAGGTGACGTCAAGTGGAGTGTTCTGGTGGGGTGGCGTTGGCTGTAGCAGGAGCAGTGCGGCTGCTGCGCGGACAGAAGGCCAGTGGAGTACGGGTGTTGGACGTCCCAGGTGCCGGATGAATTTTCGGTGCCCCGGCAGGTTGACGGAGCTATGGAGGTCAGCGCGCCGCCGACTCGACATTCTGACGGAGATTTTTGCTCAGACTGCAGTGAAAGTAGAAAATGGCATGGCGACCAGAATCACCGCATGAACGAATGCTTTAAAGGGGGGACGAGTGTGCTGTGGGTTACTGACATCCACATAAGTAGTATATGGTGATGGTCGAGCATTGAATGTATTTCAGTAGAAGATCGATAAGGATAAAACGGGAATGGTATGCAATTGGTACGAAAATGCATGAACAATAATAATCGGAAACTATGGACGGATACTTGCAAAAGAAAGTCAAATTGAGACAATTGATTGTTATTTTGCAAATTAGCTGTTCACTAGATGGTTCTCAAATTTTAATGAGATATTATGTAATGTTGTGCTAAATACATTCGATTGCCCACTCGTGTTCTTGTTCACTACATTTGGTTAAATGAAGGTTACATATTAGTGCGAGAAATTTGGATTTACAGTTGAACGTTAGGGTTAGAAATCAGATTCAATGTTTTCAATGCGAAGTGACACCAACTATAATACCAAAATAATATTCAGCCAAAAGAGTGGATGGATTTCGTGCCAAAATCCAAGACCTGATATCTTAAATCTGATTGCTCTGTCCATAAATTGTAGTTTCGCCAATATGTCCTCAGGAATCTGGGTGATTGTTTTTTTTATGAAGAAAAAAGGCCATACAAGCGACTCAACAACCACTGAATTATATGCCTTTCTCTAGAAGGATAGTCCTTTATATCATTACTAGTGGTTATAAATTACCACGAACTATTGGTTACGCGATGTTAAGTTTTGCTTGCTAAAATACTACAATGTAACTTCAGTGTTTTCATTATACGAATCAGTCTGAAAATGAGAGGATTTTGACTTTGAGACAATCCATAACGGTTAGTTACTGGTCGTTTACATTAAAACAGCAATTAAGTTACAATATTAATCAACATACATGCATTAATTAACCGACAGTGACTACCGCTAGTTAAGTAGTGATAGACTATCTATTAATATTCGAAAAGTTTTTTCTTCATTTTCAAATATTTAAATCTAGTTCTGAGACATATAGGGACAACAGACCTTTCACACTATTAGTAATCCAGAGACATTTTAAGCTAATAATGCAAAACTTAACAATGATTTATTAATTATCAATAGATCGCATTATTTAATCTCAAGGATATCCGTTACGACAACCGCATATCACTTTCTCAACTTGATTATATGAAAAGTCAAAATGCAACGCACCTATCTAAACCGTACAAGGCGGATGTGTATTCAAAATAGTCATCAAAAATTTGAACATATAATAATCAGCTGGATTTCGGGTGTTTAGTACACAATCCATGTTTCTAAAGGACGTGAAAGCAGGTCGGTGGAGGTATCGATTTACAATTAACTTAATCCCAAAGCTGTAAAATCACAAGAATACTGTATTCAATGGTGAAAATTCATATCGATTATTATTCAAACAAAGGAATTATGTCATAAAAGCACAGAGAAAAATAAGACGCTGATAAAAATATTTAACCTATTACGATATTCAAAGTGTAGCTTTCAGTTTTAACGTGATAGAATAAATCTTTCTGACAGTTTAAATATGATCTTGCAAAAAACAAACCGAAGTAGGCAGAAAATTGAATGAAGCAATAAAACACGCCCATAATGTCAATGATTGAAAATATTGCTCACAAAACAGTTAAACATTATTTTACAAAAATATTAGTGATCATAAAATTTTTAGAGAAACTTCAGAGTTAAAACGACAATGATAAGTATTTCTGACTACGAGCGATGAAACTACACCTGTAACACTTATTGCGATACAGATGCACACACGCACAGGTTAAGCAGGAGGGCTATGCATCGGCTCAGCGAACCCGTGTCGAATAAAACAAACATGGAAGCAGCACACACAGACCTTCCCATAGATTTCACCCCACCAACGATAGAATAAATTAGCATAAACAACAGACAAAACAATAGTAGGGAAGCAGCAGGACCACACAACATACCGACTGAAGCACTGAAGTCAGACATGAAAGTAACTGCAGAGACGCTTCACGTCGTATTTAGGAATATTTTGGAGGAAGAACAAGTGCCGATGGATTAGAAAGAAGGATACCTCGTCAAGATACCAAAGAAAGATCAGAGCAAATGTGAGAACTATGGGGGCACCACACTACTGTTGGTACCAGGAAAGGTTTTCAACAGTGTTACAGTACAGGATGAAGGATTCAGTAGACGTCGAGCTTCGAGATCAACAGACCGCATTCTGCAAGGATCGGTCGTGTATAGATCGAATCGCGACATTAAGGGATCATCGTTGAACAACCTCCTTGATTATGAGAAAGCATTTGACAATACGGATAGAAGAACATTATGTAAACATCTTCGACACTATGGAGTACCTGAGAAAATCGTCACCACCCGGAATTCATACAACGGATTACAGTGCAAAGTCATGCATTGAAGACAGCTGACAGACCCATTACAAGTGAGGACAGGAGTCAAACAAGGCTGCCTACTCTCCCTCTTTCTTCTGATGGTTGACTGAATTATAAAGACCTCCACATCTGGGGAGAGGAAGAACGGAATATAATCAATAGCTTGGATGCAACTGGAAGATTTGTACTTCGGAAATGACTTAGCCAGTCTACCCCATACACAACCAAACAAAGACAATCTTGACTTTTACTATAGGCGTCATAATTACTGTAAATGAAGATCCTTGAACCCCCAAGACAGAGCTTAAATTGTTTATTTAGGTTGGCATTTTTTTGGCAACGTTTTCTACGGGATGAGTTTGCTGAACCATGCTTAATTCTCTTTCTTTACCCGGGTTCGGAATCGGTAACAACCCTAGTAGAGCTACAGACAGAGGCCTCCTGCTGCAGAGGCTGCTACTACATTGGCTGTCTCCGCCTTTATTTGTTTCTATGCATGGTAGAGAAGAGCTGAGCCATCTGCAAAGTCCAAACAGACTAGTTGCATCCAAGATGTCAATTTTGTTTCGTGCTTCCCCTGAGATGTGGATGTCTTCATAATTTAGTCAAAACTTTTATATCTCAGGGGAAGCACACAATACAATTGACAGCTTGGATGCGACTAGTCGATTTGGACATCGCAGATGATCTAGCTCTTCTATAGAAAATTGGAGACAGGCATCAAAATAATGAATAAAGATTAGAAACAACTGGAAAGGAGAGAACAAGAGAGGATTGGTTAGAGTGCTGATCGGTGGCCTAGGCTTCTAAGGTGTAAGACATCTGAGTAAGTATTAGCAATAAACGAAACACCATACAATAAGATTATTTTTCTCAAGCAACCATAATGTTCTGAAATACATTTAAAATCTAATTGACAGTTTCACTTTCTTTTTTCTTGGAATAATTATTATACACTGATAATTAAATATAGAACTAGTGAATCATGTTCATCCAACAAAAAGTTGAACCGTAATCAATAGTAATAATGTATTTAGTACTGATGCAATCTAATTCCATTGAAGCAAATGAAACCAGATAAGGATTTTCAAACACTTGGTAAATTAAAAGGTGGAAATAGTAGTTAGAATAATCACTTTTAGAAATTGACGTAAGAGATCCTTATATTCGAATTAAACTGGGACACACTCTGTTATACCATTTTGTGTGATTAACTGAATGATACTTCCAGATTTAGGACGATTATTAGCTTCTTCCAACCATGTAGTAAATAATCTATAAGAATAAAATAGTGAGATAAAAATTAAATTTATCGAATGAAAACATGTTCAAAGCATAATTTTTGAAGGACACTAGTAATTTAACACATCAGCGAAAAAACATAAAATTGGATACTTGCGATTAAAGGATTTATTTTAAAGTTAGTGTTTATTATAGACTGACATCATCTAGGAGCCGCGGAAAACCACAAAACATTGGGTGACTACTTCCCACTGAATGTAGACATCATAGAAATGTACACTGAAAATCCCATCAGAAATATGTTAGCTTTTTCAGATTTCGACGACAGAACGATAGATTTGGATCACCAAATCAAGACTTAATTATCTAACATTTCGTCTTCAATCAATTCTTTCTTTCTAGTGTTATATATATATATATATATATATATATATATATATATATATATATATCAGATCCACATCACCATTACCTACATTCATCTAAGCTGTTTCCTGAGCATCACCAATGGCGAAGTTGAAAAGAAATGGTGAGATTAGTCAACCTTGCCTAACCTAACTGCTTTTTTTACTTTCAAGTCTAAAGGCGGCCTGATTGAATATCTGGGCTACCTGTTCCTGCCATCTAGATATTTCAACAACTTATCTAATTTTGTTTGTTTCAATACATCATTATGGTTATTCAGGTGCGTTTGTAAAAATTGTACAACCTTTCGCTGTACAAGTTACAAAAGACCTAATCAGAGATATCGTGGTTGCTGGCAATATGAAGCGAAAAGAATGTACATGATTTAGATGTCTATTGACTGGACTGCTAACTTCTAATTGACGATTACTCAATATTTGTCGTCAGGATCGATCAAGAAGTAAAAAACGGAAACTTGTTGAAATACTTTGTGCTGAGAATTCTATATTGTACCAAAAATATAATATTGAATATAGCTAACAGTAGTGATAATAATAATAAAACAATGGAAAGGTGTTTACATACATTTCCTTCAAAATGTAAAACAAACTTCTCAGCGACACTCTTGTTCAACAGACACTTCTGAAAAATTCTTGTCCAACTAATGGGTGACCACACAACGATAACTGACCTGAAGAAAAATCGGAGGTGTTCCAACGCTTGACAGAGGGAGAATATGTGATCAATACATCTTCAATCAGAGCGAAGACCTACCTGGTCTCTGTGAGTCAGTTTTCCACATGTCTTGAAGAATCTGCGAGGCATGATGGAAACCAATAGTTTGGATGTAATGGGAATTAGGTTTATGCCTTCCAAGAACTCTACCCATCGTTCAAGGCGTCAGTGGATGTTACTGATTGGGGTCCCACCAGCTTCAAAGATTTTTTCGACTTACACTAGACTTCTTACTGTCAGTGGATCGGATGAAATGAAAGAGATTCCGGTAGTATAAATGATGTCATGATTAACTTTGAGAATGGTGTTAACCAACGGTCTTACAGAAATAAGTATCTAAATGATCCTTTGCTTTCCATGATTCTAAAAAGTAAAGGCCTGTACTATCAGATTTAACACTAGTTTATTCTGGTAAAATAGTCACACTAATGGAAGTTTATCCTTTATTTCCTTTAGCAAAAGTATTTGATTATTTTAATTTCCGTATACTGGAAAAACATGTCTTCAGTTCTGATGCTATTTTCAAAAACACTACCAAATATGAGGGATCTTGGTGTTTGAAGTAAAATCAACGATTACAAAACATATAAAGAAAGTTTTCTGAGTTCTTCCAAAATTTATTACATTTCATTAACTTGCTAATGAGCAGTTTTCAGGGACTGTAGGATGAGATATTTTGGTCAGATTAAAGAGTCTTTTAGTAAGTTTCAAATATGATTGATATTAGCACTATAGATCAAACATCCACTATCATGTTTAAGTTTTAAGGTTTAGTAGAATTTCTTGGCTTTACTGTGACTCTACCGTTTAACAATTACTACTTATGGGCTATTCACATAGTGTCAATGATTTTGTGAAAAGCCAGTTGGAATAGTAGAACAAGCGAATGATCGAAATTTCTAGCCCAATACATGTTTGCAACTAGTCAATTTAAGCTTACTCTGCGACTTTTTCTGTAGGGGTCCAAGACGAATGGTTGGCTTTAGGCATCCACTTTCTGTTCATAGGAGTGTCCAAAGTTGCTCTAAAATAATAGACAAAGTCAGACCATTCACTTCAACAAAGTAAAACGCATAGATTACTTTAGAATAACTAATTCGAAATCTAAGTTGTGAAATTGACAGATTATCAATACGGTAATTCATAGCCTACATTTCATTATGAGGATCAGCATTAGTCCAAGCGTTGAAAATTATGAAATGCATGGTAATTACAAGCTGGGTTAATACGCTATGGCACAAACATAGGGATTTACAAACCGAAATTGAACACTACGTTGTTCAGCCTTTACATAGCCGCAAAGAGTAGAGTTATACTGCGAAAATGAGCAACAGATGGAGAGATTAAACACCATACGGGCAGATACTAGTGAGAAATCGTTGGTAAACCTATAAACGATGTAACCGTCCTCTGAATACATTTACTACAGAGGTGGAAATAACACTAATTTGATACCCGGTTACATGAAAAACTTTTGGAAATTATGAAAAAACTGTTAGTGATCAAAGGTGATCTCAAAGCATCATTACTAAGATGATAACAATTCACGAAGTGATAGACATTGCTATATATATATATATATATATATATATATATATATATAGAGAGAGAGAGAGAGAGTACAGGAAAAGGAAACTGATATGCATGTATATGAAGATTCAGGAAGATAAATTTAACAAACAACAAAATCAAATTAGAACATATTAGCCTATGTGAGATATGCTGATGGTTTGGAGGGTACAGATTAGAACCAGCTACCAAAATCAAAAGATTGGAAGCATGGTTTATATCTACTACAGAAATTCGGCAAGCCAACCCTACATCTGTTATGATTTTATGTTCGGCTTTTTATCACGTGAATTGTCCAACAATTAAAATACGACTTAGTACTGTGCCAAATCAATGACTAGTATGAGCAATCTAGCCTCCTTATTGGTCCTTCGTCCACCTGACCCTTCCGACTGAGTCCAGAACACCAATTACAGCTTCTGCTATGAGAATCATTTATTTCAAGCAAAATTGGTTTATATGCCAGACAGACAGACGGCATCACACCATAAAATAAAAATAGTATTTTTACAAGATCAAGCCAAATGTGGTTGTAAAAGTGGGAGACAATAATCAATAAACTGAATATAATTTGGGGACAGTAAATCGTATAACTCATAGGTCAAAGGGAAGCTTATAATAAGATGAATATAGATATACACAATCTAATTTCTCAATAGTTAAATAATAAGAATATATATAGAATAATAGTCCATTAATAGGCCCCGGAAGTTACTCGTACTTATTTCTTCACTAGGATATAACAACATCATTGAGGCACTAGTTGGTATCAGACTTGATTGGAAAAAAGTAGGTTTACATAATTCCTTTACTAAAAATAACATATGAACAGAATGATAATTTCTGAATCACTTCTGACTACACAATAGTTTATGGTTAGCCTGTGATATTTAACCCCAGTGATTTTAGCCTACGTCATCTAGACTGATTAATAGACATAAATGTTCACTTAGCCATAACCACTATTTTGAGTTCAGAATCACCACCTTAGGAAAATAAGAATCCTTGCCTCACTAAGGAAACTATGTTCAACATTATCTATTATGAACTAAAAATAACTTACGGTGAGATAGCAAGCACACAAGAACCATTCGGAAGCCCACTGTTTGGACCCGCCAAACTTTTTGTAAGCTGATGTACTGCAGCCTTAGCCATGCCATAACCCAACATAGCTACAACACATCAAAAAAGACCACGTATAAAACTAAAGACTTGGTAAACAACTGATGGACGTAATTGTAAATCAGAAGTGGATTATATTATATATCAGTCAGTCACAACGTAGAACTTCGTGCGTACGTATATCAGTTCGAGTTGCCATACTACATTAGCACAGACATGCAGTTCTCGATTCCAACCCCATAGTGGTAAAAGTAGTAAGAGTATAAGCAGAGATTAAGACCTAGAGGTCTAATCCACAAGGCAGTGGAGCATCGTGAGGAGATGCAGTCCCATGGTAGCCGTTGACCAACAACAGGTTCATTCGCCATTCGTTCCATCAGGATACTGGAGCCCATGTGCACCTTGGTTTGGAATCAGGGTTTTCCAACTCCCCTAGGTGGATCCTCCACATCTACCAACCCGGTTATAGCGCCTGACACTGTAACAAGTATCCTATTTTGAATAACGTGATCTTGGGTAAAGCTTGTCTTCATGGAAACTATGAGACGATAGCACAGTTTCTATAGCATTAGTTCTAAATCTTTGTTCATTTGACATTTGCATTCCCACACCACAAGTCTTCGCGATCAAAAATAATGTGGTCTAGGTTTACTTTTACGTATTATTTGCTTAGACGTCTAGAGCGAATCACAGTGACTCATGAGCACAATACCAAATACCTGCGATGAGGGAAACGCACTGTATGAACTAGTGTTTTTAGAAACTGTATACAATAAAACTTGATACAAACGAGGTTCGGTACACAGTACGGAAATCACAGTGAAGAATCATTCAACAATGAAAGTGTACTAATACAATTCAGACAAGGGCCGTAATAAGAAACATTTGAAATTACATGCAACTTGGTGGAAAACAAGAAAAAAGCAAAAAGTCGCTAACACCTACTCTACTCTGTTCAGCACTGTCACATAACAAAAAGTCGGACGACTTATAAGGAGATCTTACATTACATCACAGAATAACCAAAGATAACTCGCACCATTTTCAGTACATATCTGATACAAAATAAAACGACGGAATGTCCTGAACCTTACTGAATTTCGCGGATGAAGCAATGGAAACTGAAGCATTTGCATTCTAAAAGAAATTAAATCAGCTTTCCACAAGTTTTCCTTTAACATACTTCATACATTATGCAGCCAACATTTAATCTACAAGCTGTAAAACACTTGAATCCCGATTGATGTCACTATGTTTAAGTCATTTTAGACTATTTGACAACTAGTTTTGGCGATAAAAGTTCGAATTTTACATATCCTTGACATCAGAGCTAATATGCAACAGTGAGTCTGGAACTACTATCCTGTATACAAATGTTTTTAAAGGGGTTCAGAGTAAGTAAAAGGCAAATCATAGGCATAACTACTTGGAGTGGCTTGTAGAGCAGCATGTGCACCGGTAAGGACTAATAGGCCACTGGCTGAAAGATACTTTGACGCCAACGAGGCAGCGATGGACGAGGACCAAACACACTTTCTCCACATTGTATCACAGTTATCCAAAAAGTCTAGAAATTTTATGGATAAGTCAAAGTATTTTTCATATACCGTGGCTAGCAGCATTCCCACCAACCCATCCACCTGCAACACAGAATATTCCATCAATCTTTTGACCACTGAGAAACGTATCTAGACCATTCTTCACGACTTTTTCTTGGGCAGAACTTCTTTCTACAACTTCAATAACGACATTTTCATCAGCATCAGGATTCTCTTGGAAATCGACAGAGCAAACCCACTAATGGTTACAAAACCAAGTGACTTACATAGCCTTTACTTTTAAAGTGCTTGACGCAAACAGATCCCAAACACCCACGACCGCCGTACAACAGCACACGCTTACAGGACATCAGAATAAAGCTAGGGGTGACTGTCTGACTTTCAGCGTTTGGTAAGTTTGAGTCTGGTCTGAAGATACCTTGTGTGTTGGGAGCAGTAAGTGAGATTATCTGGAAGAGAAAAAGCAAGCCAGCGACTCAGTAAGCATATAGAGTGCACTTATATTTAAAAATGAAAGCAATTGAAAATCGTTAATGATACGAGCGTGAGATCAAGACAATTTGATAATCTAGACCAGCTTCCAGGAGCTGATAGTGTATGGTTTTGAACGTGCTACAACCTTCGGGGTGGGAGATTCAAATGGTTCAAATGGTTGAGGACGCAATAGAAGAAGCTTTCGCTTAACGGGCTTCCGTGTCTGGTAGCAGTGGATCACCAATACCTCCAGGTAAGAACCTAGGTATATGAACGATAATAGAGGGAAAAAAGAGTTTGGTAAATCATAATAATATGTTATCCTTAGTCCTTAAGAATAAGTCAAGTTTCCTCTTAAAGGACTCCTGGGAGGTCGCTTGGACTAGCTCAGTCGACAGCAAATTCCAGCACTTGACAACTCTAACGGAGTAGAAGTTGTGTCTGCAGTCTGTTCTGCTATGTAGGGTCTCCAATTTCTGGGTGTTACCTCTGAGGTTAGTGTTACGACTAAGCTTAAGAAGTTGTTTAAGGGGATGACCAGAAGTATTAAGGATACTATAAGTCATTAGAAGATCACCTCTAAGACGCCTATACTCTAACGGGTAAAGGTTAAGTGATTTGAGGCGCTCTTCATAAGGTTTGAATTTGAGACCCCGAACTGATTTCGTGGCTCGACGTTGTATACGTTCCAGAGTGACCTTATCCTTTTGGAGGGAGGGAGGAAATACTATGTTTCCGTACTCTAAGTGGGGACGAATAAAACTGTTGAAGATTATATGGAAGGTTCTACCGTCAAACTGGCCAAAAATGCGTTTCAATGTTACTAGTGCAAGGTTTGCTTGAGAGGCGTTTTTGTCACAGTTTGCATACGATTTCAGGTCGTAGGGTACCAACACTCCTAAATCTTTTTCAACTTGGGAAACTTCTAGAGGGTAGTTACCTAAGTTATAACTATAGTCTGCAACATGTCTCAGATGGACTACCTTTCACTTTGAAGTGTTGAAGGTAATTCCGTTGTCGTCTGCCCAACTTTGAAGTCGAGTCAGATCCTCCTGAAGAACTAATATATCATTATGATTACGTATCTCTCTCCAAAGTTTCACATCATCAGCAAAAAGCAATAAGTCAGATGAAACTTGTTGAGGAAGATCGTTAATATAAATCAAGAAGAGAAGAGGTCCTAGTATTGAACCCTGGGGGACCCCACTAGGACATTCCATAGCCTGAGAGAGGGTGAAGTTAACCCTGACCTTAAAGTGTTGGTTTTCTAAATATGAAGAGAGCCAATCAATTAAAGGGGGTTTTATACCCAATCGTCCAAGCTTCTTGATAAGACATGCATGGTTGACCCTATCAAAAGCTTTTGAGAAGTCCGGGTAGATGACGTCAACCTTCCCCTTGCGATCAAGGATGGTTGTCCATCTATCCACCGCAGTCAGCAGGTTGGTCATACAAGAATGACCTTTTCTGAAACCATGCTGTTGAGGTGAGAAGAACTTTGAGGATGATAAGTGTTCTAGTATGCCGTCGAATACTAGGGATTCCATAATTTTTGAAGGTGTGGAGAGAAGGGCCACTGATCGGTAGCTTGGGGGTTCACTGCGTCGACCTCCTTTGAAAATTGGTGTGATGTGGGCCAGCTTCCATATTTCCGGTAGTTTGCCTCTGCTTAGCGAGTGTGCAAACATCACGCTAAGTGGTGTCGCCAGGATTGAAGCTGCTTCCCTCAATACAGCGGAATGAACCATGTCCGGACCAGGAGAAGTGTCTTTTCTTAGGTTCTGCAGTTTACGGAGCACCAGGTCAGCACTCAGGTCCACTTCGGAAAGTCCTGTACAGGTGCAGGTGAAGCTTTCGTCAGTACGGTTGATGTGGGTCAGCTGGAATGTCCGGGAGTATTGTTCAGCCAAAAAATTAGCGGCATCACTGTCGTTATTGGTCGGGCCATTAGGACCAAGCAGTTGGGAAACTCCAGTTTTGCCTTGTCGAAGAGAAGCTGCATAAGTGAACAAGCTTTTCGGATTGGAGACGAATCTATCGATAAGCTTGGTCTGGAACTGAAGCCTGTCTTCTCTTATTGCCTTTGTGCATATGTTCTTTATATGTTTGTATTGCCTGTACGCGCCGTTGTTATCAGTTCGTTTATATTCAGCCCAACAGTGCCTTTTGTGGCTTAGCAAACGACGAGTGCGGTTCTTGATGATTGGAGGTTGCTTGTAGCTTTTTGGGACCATTTTAGGAACTGAATGCTCAGTAGCACATAAGATGGTGTGCAGTAAAAAATCCCAATGAGCATCCACTTCAATTTGAGGGTGAATATCCCAATCTACCTGTTGTAGATAGTCCCGTAAAGCTAACACATTCAACCGTTTGAAGTTCCAGCGCTTGTTGCTAGTAGGATATCGTAGCTCCGTTTTGCTGACAAAGCTGAATGATAAGACGGCGTGATCACTTTTCCCCAGGGGAGACAGGATTGAGAGGTCGTAAACTAGGAATTCTTCATTTGTGAATACCCAGTCTAAGCGCGACGGCGTCTGATTGTTTCTCCAACGGGTTGCCGACTTCACATTTTCAAATAATACCAGGTCGCCGATAAGGTTGAAGAACAGAGCTTCAGTAGAGTTGGCACCACCAATGTATGTATGTTCCACGAAGTTGATTCTAAGGAGATTGAAATCCCCTAGAATCAGGATATGACAGAATCCGAGACGCGTAGAGCGAGTTAATCCTTCCAGCAGACGTTTGTCATATTCGATGTCGGCAGTGGGCTTCCTGTAAACGACCCCAACTAGGCACCTCGAGGTGGTAGATAATCTTACTGAGCACCATACTGACTCGTCAAGATTGTGAAACTTTTGGTTGTGAAGTTGGTGCGCATCCAGGCATGACCGTACGTATAGTGCTACCCCACCCCCCCATTCCTGTTTTTCTGTCGTTGCGAAATAAGGACATCCCAGTTATTGCTAACTCTTGATCCATAAACTGAGACGTTATCCAAGTTTCGGATATTCCTATCAGATGGGCATCATTAGCGTTGCTAAGTTCACGTAGCTCATCCATTTTGTTTGACAAGCTAGCGGCGTTCGTGTATAGGCAGTTTATGCTTTCAATTTGGAACGCGTGAGCTTCTTCTTGTTTGCCTATATCAGCCGTGTGTGAGTGGACAGGTAGCCTACCTATACGATGTTTACCGAGTTGGTAGTCCCTGTCCTTTACACGTTTTTTTATGATCAAGACAGTCCACGAGTGGAATTGTCAGTTCCAGCTTTCGTTTGTGCTTGATCCTGCTGTCGTGGGGCCTATCCGGATGCATATGGATGCCAGTTGGCAACCGACGTCTTTTGGCACGAAATGCTTCCAGAGTTGCAGCCGCCATGTGGGAGGAGGAGAAGGTTATCTTCAATAGTCGGGACCTATAGTCTCCATCTCTCTTGGCCAGTCTCATTACCTGTTGGGTCAATATGTTCTTGAGTTTTAAGGAATGCTTGATGAATTTCCATTCCCGAATATCAGAGTTTGCTTGAGCTGGGTCCCTATTTTCCGGCACACCTTGCACAATGATATTTCGTCCACGGAAAAACGCCTGGCGAGATTCCTTAGGGATGTTCCGGATGAGATTTCGTTCAGAATACGGTATGTCGGGCAGTATTCATACGTTCCCATCGGACTTCAGTAGGTGACTGGCTAGCAGGACGTCCTCTACGTCGGAGGCATTCTTAAGTGTAACACGAAGCAACCTCGGGTGGTTTAGGTGGTTAGAGTCCTTCCCCCGAGTGAGCCGTGTGACGGTCAAAGGCTCTATTCTAGGGAGTTCAAGCCTCTTGTTTAAATTTCCCCAGAGCATCCTATCGTTTTTGTCCTGCAAACTGAGAGGAAGGTCGGGGTTGTCAATAAGGTTCATGATTATGACAGAGTCGTCACGAACCGCAATTGATTTTCCAGGTTTTCCAGGGCGTCTAGGTTTGGTATCTTGTTGTTTAGATGTCGAGGCGCGTTTTCGATTCCTGGGCTCAGTGATGACCGGGCGGACAGTCTTGGGTGCAGACTGTGCGGCCACATCATCAATTGATTTCCGCACTGTACTTGGGATGTCCAGCTTCGGCGGGGACGCTTGGGCTTTATTACTCCTGTTAACGTGAGTCCATCCACCTACAGGATTTTTGAGAACCACTGTCTCACTCAAGGACCGTTCCCCGGGGGACCCAAGTTTACTGAGGGAGTCGATGACAGTCGATGTTAAGATGGTGCTGAGTTTCAGCACATCATCACTCGTGCTGTTAACAGCACCGTCGATAACCGACCTGTCAGTATCCTTTTTCTTATTTGCCCTATGCGTTCCAGCTTTGTTACCCGTCATGATGATATCATTTACCGAATTCTTAGACAACTTATCTCTCAGACCTGTCAGTAAAGTAATGATAGTACCCAACATAACTACCGTATCGGTGTTGCAGGTAACACATACCCACCTACGGTCAGACTTGCTGAGTCTGCTATAGGCTGCTGCTGTTAGATCTGTATATGCCTCATGGAACCAACCTTTACAGTTGTCACATTGCATGCCAGATGTAACGGCATTTGTTCATATGAAAAAAACAAATGTTCATATGAAAAAAACAATAGAATGTAGCTGTTTTCAATTTCCTTAAGTACTGTTCTCAACAAGACAGATTTTTATTGATATTGTTCTTCGCTGATTGATACTACTTAATACCATGACACTTGAGCCATGGTTTGTTTGGAAGCCATTGTATTTGTAAATAATTCCCCAAAATCAATAGCTCTTTGAGTGTTTGACATTGGATGCTGGCCACATTGTTTTAAGTTGACGTCTTTAACTGAAGGCGTTCGGCCATGCATCCGCACCAGATCACGT